GTTCATGATCAGATCCTCTGATTAAGATCTGTTTTCACTGAAATGTAGATATTGAAAAATCGATATCGACATCCTCGTGTTGCTGATTGATATTGACTTTACAACTTGCGGATTCATGCGGTGAGCAGCTCAAAGGGGAGATTACATTAAAGATGAGATGAAAAAGGAGAGCAGAGAGACAAGGCCGGTGTGAGGGAGGAGCTGCAGACGCTTTTGTCTCACACTATCAGGAATCAGAATTAAAGACTATATATTTGGAGTCTGACATTTGTGGCCAGTGGGAGTTGTGTTGTCGGGCTTCACACTGGGGCACTCTGTCTCTGGACCTCCTGCTGGTCCGGTTTCTAAAGAGCTGAGCTCCTTCCTGCTGCTGTGAGGCCACCAGCTCTCTGCAGATGAAGCTCAGCTCTCTGGGGGTTCAGTCGGTTTTGGTTAACGCACACAAACACACGGACTCGGTATGAAGTCGCGCAGTGAAGCTGGAGGCCTGAAGCTAGAGTCTAATGTAAATCACTTAATCCTAAAACCCACCAGTGGCAAAACTGCACCATTTATCTGAGCAATAAACTGTAAAAGCAAAACGAATTGTCAGATTTTCAACTTTACGACGGTTCATGAATGTTTCCGTGTCTGTCAGCCAGAACAGCCAAAAATGAGCTGAAAATTGTGATATTTCATCAAAATAACTCTAAAAATGATCATGTATTGAATAACTATGCTACGTCTGCTTGCGGTTTGCTGTTTGTACTGCGGTTTGGACAGGTTTTGGTCATTTTGTATCCCATTTGTGTTTTATGTCTCGTTTTTATTCATTTTTGTCTCGTTTGTGTTTCTGTGCTGTTGTTTTGGTGATTTGGTGTCTATTTTTTGTAATTTTCATGTTGCTTTGTGTCTGTTTTTGTTGTTTTATGTCTCGTTTGTGTCATTTTGTCTTCTTTTGCCACATTTTTGTTATTTTTTGTCTCGTTTGTGTCAAGTTTTTGTCATGTCTCCTTTGTAGCATTTTGTGTTGTTTTCCTGTTTTTGCTGGTGCTGGTCTTGTTGATGTTGTTTGGTGTCCAGTATTTGTTGTTTTGTGTTTCATTTGAGATATTTTGTGTTTTTTTGTGTCTCACTTGTGTTATTTTGTTTTCCCTGTTCTCATTATTTGTCTTGTTTGTGCTGTTTTGTCTCATTTTTGAGTTGTTTTTTGTCTAATTTTTTAAATAGTTTTTTAATTGTTATTGTATCGTTTTGTGTCTTGTTTTTGTGTTTTATGTCTTTTCACATGCAGTTGCAGAACAAAGATCAACAGAAGCAGTTTAAGACGAGTAAAAGATTTATTTCACATTGTTTTCTGTTAAATATCACCAGCTTAGTTTGAGGAATCAAAGACACCAAAGAACAGCTCACAGGAAGCGTTAAGGAGGCTCATATGAAGAACAGGAGGGACAGAGTCCAGAGAAAATCTGGATCACACAATGAATAACCCAACGTCTGCTGATGGTTCGCTGTTGTACTGCGGTTTGGAAAAGATGGACACATCATGCTGGCTTTGTTTGTTCACCGATGTCAGCCAACCATAAATAAGAACTTTTAAGTGACAACTCCGTCCAGTTCTCCAGAGTTGGAGCTGGAAGAAGATAAAACTGATGCTGGATGGAGGAAGGTCAAAGGTCAGCAGGGCACCACGACAAGGCCGGACACAAACTGAAGCACTGCAACCACAACACATAGCATACACACACACACACACACACACACACGCACACACACACACTTCACTGGAGATAAACAGTCTGAGCTCCATTGTTCACAGCCGACACTGCGTCTACACACCCGGCTTCACCTGAGTCAAATTTACAGCGAGGACGTAACTCAGGGAAATTTAAAAATCAAACACCAACAGGGACGAGGTGTTGTTTAATAATTGTTACCCATGATACCTTTCTGCCCCCTCACCTCCGTTACAGGCAGGAGGGAGGAGAGGCGATGTTCAGAGTGTCAGAGTCACACAGGCACTTGAGAGAAATGACAAAAAAAACCAAAAAAACACAACAACTTCCATTAAGGCACGACAGATAAACTACACTCATAAACACCACTCTTTGGGACAAGAACAGCGTGACTTCCTCACATCTGCCTCCAAAATCGAATCTTGTCAGACAAATCAAGATACAAACATCTGCAGCTCATCACAAATTGCTGTAGAGATGCTTGTAATGTGGAGTCAGATGTGATTTTCTGAACTTTCAGCTCCTGCACAGACTGTGTTGTTGGATTTCTGCAGCTGCAGGCTGGATTTTCTCTAAAACAGCTTCCAATGATGTCAGTTTTGGGGTTGAAAAAAAAACTTATTGTGTAGTTTTGTGTTAATCTATATTGCAAATGAGTAAAATTCAAAACATCAAAATCATATTATCTTGATGATGTGCTGTCTAGTGTGAAAAAAATACATTCAAATGCTTCCATTACAATTGCCAAAAGTTAACAGTTACATTACCCCTAAATACAGAAAGCTGGCATTATTCTTCTTTTTCTTATCTTGCATTTTTCTGGCTTTTACTGTCAACAAATCCCATGAAAACATATCAATTAGTCTTTTTTTTTGTTTGTTTGTTTGTTTTTTTAAGCACTTCCTAACCTACCAATGTCATAAATTGCAAATGTTACTCAAACAGGAGAAAATCTTGCATTTGTTAGGGACTGTTTTATGAAGTCAGATGATTATTTTCATTGTCAATTAGTCTGTTGTTTATTTTCCCAATGAAGCAATGAGTCGTTTGATCTGTACAATGTCAGAAAATGGTGAAAAATGTTGAGCCCAAGACAACGACATTTAGTTTACTGTCACAGATGAGGAAAGAAACCAGAAAATATACACGTTTAAGAAGCAGAGAATTTTGATTTTTTGCTTTAACATTCTATTAACTGATTATCAGAATAGTTGGCGATTGATTAAATAGTTGATGATTAATCATTTAAGTGTTGCAGCTCCTCTAATATCTGCAAAAATTGAGGGATTAGTTTAAAATAAACGTAATCACACACAGTTGGTCTGCCGTCACTGTGGCTGTTGGAGGTGATTAGTAGAGGCGCTGCGATTGCCTGATCTTATTACGTTGATATTTTTTTTATTTATTTTATTTTTTTTAACAAAAAAATGTCGAAATTCTCTGTTTCTATCTTTTAATGTGAATATTTTCTGGTTTCTTTCCTCCTTTCTGACAGAAAACTGAAGACATTCATCGTCTTGAGCCTTCTTTTTTAAATTTTCTTTTATGGACTTTTGCCTTTATTCAGCAGTGCAGTGAAGAGAAACAGGAAAGAGGAGAGAAGAATGGGGAGAGACCTGCAGCAAAGGGCTGTGGGTGGGAATCGAACCCACAACCGCTGCATCAGGGACCATAGCCCCTGTTTGTGGGTCGCCATCTTATCCAGTTGAGGTACCGGGACGCCTGTCATCATCATCTTGAGCTTTGATCAACATTTTTCATCATTTTCTGGCATTTTGTAGATCAAACCACTGATCAGTCAAGTAAGAAAGTAACTGACAAACTAGTCAACAATGAAAATTTGTTGCACATGAACTAAAATCATTGTGTGCACCCAACAGGTACATCATGTGAAAACAGATGCTACTGTTGCTGTGTAGCCTATAAATGAGTCCCCAAAATGTGCACATTTAGTCTACTTTCAAACAATGTTTACCACAGAAATAACACATACTTGATGCCCTCGTCGAAATTTACAAGACAGTATATGTGGAATTTAATGAAAGCAAACAAGATTTCATGTCATCCTGTGCAAAGATGTGAATCACTGATGTGTGTTTTTGAACAACAAGCTTCTTCTGGCTACAACACTCAATCAAAGCAGAGGGTTTTTGTGTTTCTTCATGGGATTTGTTGACAAAATGACAGAACAAAGTTCAACGGCACAAGCTTCAGCTCTCCTCTGATGCAACTGAACCTTTTCTTCAGAATAAATCAGCACCTAAAATTAGCAGAGGTAATTAGACACAGTGGAAACGCACAGACACACACATACACACCCACACATAAACACACACTCTTTGTACACGACACACGCTCACAAATGCATGCTTACCACAGCGCATGCATGCAGACACACAATAAGCATGACAGGTTGGTAATTTCCCCAGTTATCAAGAGTGTGAGTGTCATTGGCAGTGTATGGAACAGTTATAGTGACAGATAGGATATATTTCCAATTGATTTTTTTCCCTTGATTGGTTTCACAATCTGCGTCTCAGATTTATTGTAGATTTATCGTCATCACTCCTCTCAGACCTGCATTTCTAAACTTGTGATCAGCCCATTGCTGCTCCCTCTTTTCCTTTGTTTTATGTGCACAAAGTGACAGTGTGTTAGTGTTTTTGCATGAACTGAACAGTCTTTTCTCAGAAAACATCTTATACCCTGTGTGGGCCTTCAAGCAGCGCACTACAAGTACAGAGTCTGCTGAGATGCGGAGGAGTGAGGTGACGGCAGCTTTAGCTCCTGGGCAGGAGGCCCTTCTTGTAGGCCAGCAGGGCGGCGGCGGTGGCAGCAGACAGGACGGTGGAGACGCCCATGAACCTGAGGAAACCTCCGACTGAAGGCAGGTTTCTCTCCCAGAAGGAGGTGATGAAGGGCAGCGCTGGGACTTCCTGCAGCAGGAGACAAGGAGGAGAGGTGAAGTTACAGAGAGCAGCAACATGTCAGCTGTTTCTGTCACTCTGTGCCTCGTTTGTATCATTTTTTTTGTCCTGTTTGTATCTTATTTGTGTCCTTTTCTGTCCGGTATTTGTTGTTTTGGGTCTTGTTTGTGTTGTTTTGTGTCTCAGTTATTTGTGTCGTGTCTCATTTTCATCATTTTGTGTTTCGTTTGTGTTTGTTTCATGTCTCATTTTTCTTTTCTAGTAATTGCTGTTGTTTGTTCTGTGTTTTTTGTCTCATTTTTGTCATTTTGTGTCTCATTTTTGAGTTGATTTGTGTCTCGTTCTGCATCACCTTTTTGTCATTTACAGTCCCTTTAATGTTGTTGTGTTTTGTTTGTGTTGTTTTGTGTCTCTTGTTGTGTCTGGTAAATGTAGCTCTTGTGTCTTGTTTGTGCTGTTTTGTGTTATTTTTGGTATTTTGTGTTTCATGTCTTGTTTTGGCATTGTTTTGTGTTTCATTTTTGTTACCTGTCTTGTTTTTGTTGTTCTGTGTGTAGTATTGGTTTTGTGTCTCATTTGTGTTGTTTTGTTTCACATTTTTGTCATTGTGTGTAGCATCTTCAGCAATAAAAAATCAAAATCAAATGGTTTCAGCAGAAACAGAAAAATTTAAATTACTGACTGCAAGAGTGTAAAACAAGGTGTCCATTTCAAGTACAAGTATGGTAACATGCAGTAAGGCAAAATAAGCCTTGTATGTTACATTTCAACATAAAGAGAACGTGGAAGCAGCTTGTAATTTTGCACATATTATGACAATATATAAGCCTTTATGCACACCAGTTTTTGTGGTTCTATGAATGAGTTTACATCACCATTTTGCCAAAATAGCAAAAAACTGAAGCCTTGCCTTGTCATACTTGCCACACATTAAATTCTGCTGATGATGGAGGCCTCAGAAGTTGATGAAATGTCAAACAAAGACTGTATTCATGCACACACACACACACACACACATATATATATATATATAAACTTACAGGAACTTTTTAGGGGCCCCAATACTATCTATGTTTAAAATAACTGCACTTTTTTTTTCCAATTTCAAGGGTCCGTAAATAAAACTGGCCTCTACTGGAGTCTTGCGATCATATGGATCTACTCCCAAACGCTTTTTTCTGTGTCCTCAGCAAAGTTCATGGCTACAGGAGTTATATTTCTGGAGATACTGAACCCTTATCCATTATCTATACATTGCTTTATCCTAGAGACAGACAACCAAGCACACTCACATTCACACCTACGGACAATTTAGAATCACCAATTAACCTCAACATGTTTGTGGACCTTGTGGGAGAGAGAACCCGTGATGCACGGGGAGAACATGCAAATTCCATGCAGAAAGATCCCAGGTGCCCTCACCAGGACGCGAACCGGCGACCTTCTAGCTGCAAGGCAACGATGCTAACCACTGTTTCCACCTTGCAGTGGCCTACATTCAACTTTGGATTTAATTTGTTCCATAAATATTCAGAAACATTTTCCTCACCTTGGACTCAGGCTCCGTCTGCCATATCTGACTCTGGTGGATTTTACCCAGCGCACACAAGACCTGCATGGACAGACAGTCAAAAAATGCATTTTAATGTGGCAGTGCAGCCACTCTAGACTGCACTTTTTCTCACAAACTCCCCAGTAGATCGTGATGTAACTGACAAGGAGGAACATGAATCACTTCCGTCTGCTCCCAGTGCTGTTTTAAAACTTTCCTTTGTTATTTTTCTGGAGAAACTCTTCTCCCACATGTTTATAGGTATCAGTAGATCTCTATATTTTTTTTTATAGGTCAGGATTGCAAGGGTTTTCTGACCTCTCTGGCGGCTCTTTCTCCGGCTTGTACTGCTCCCTCCATGTAGCCGCTCCATTCTGTGGCCGTCTCTGTGCCGGCGAAGTACAACCTGCCCACCGGCTCCCTCAGCACTCTGCAGACACGAAAGGACAGAAAACACCAGAGGTTACAGAATTATAAACTTTAAAGGCAGCCTTTATTTGAATACCCCACCATGTGTTGCTGCCCTGAGGTGTTTTGTGGATATTGTTCTCTAATTTAAAGTTGCAGTTTAAACAATCTAATGATGGAATGACTGATTCAAAAGGTTCAACAACATAAAGTGAACTTCTTGCGGGTTTAAGCTAAAATAGAGTTGGGAAAAAGCCTCATACTTCCACTACTGTCAAATTTATGTCTTAATCCTATAAATTCTGAATTCAGAAATGCAAGCAACCTGCTGTTTAAGCAAAAATGAAAATATCTGCTTATTTCTATTATGACTAAGTGCACCATGGGTTTAGCTAGCAACAGGTACCATGACAAGGACTTCTGTGATGCTTAATGAACCAGCTTATTGTAACACCAATGACTGAACATGCACATGTCTGAGTGTCTATGAAGTGACTTACCTGCCGTACTGAGTGAGGATTCCTGGGGGGTAATAGGCTGTGTAGCAGCCCCCAGAGTACTCCTCTTCACACCAGTTCTTCTCCTCATAGTGCACCGGCTAGAAGACACAAGTGGACACATGAATGGGTTAAACTAGAGATTCCAGTGTAGCTGTGTGTTAGTCTGCATCCAAACTCACATGGAGCGCCTCCTCTGAGCCCAGAACTTTGGAGTAAATCTCACAGATCCTCTTCAACCTGAATACAACAAGACAAGTGTTTGGATGAAACAGATCCTGCAGGTTGTAGGAGTGAATTCATCTGCTGTAATGTGTTTACTACCTCTCTTCTTTGGACAGGCTGGTTAACTTTCTGCACTTGCGGGCAAGGATGAATCTGGGAGAAGGAGAAAAGTTGTGGAAATATTAGCCAGTAAAAAATATGCCATTTTCCAGTCACACACTGTGTATACCACATGGCCACATTTGGACACCATCCACACATTTTTGTGCACTTGTTTCTGCTTCCATTTAAAGGAAAATATCTAGACAATAGCGTCTCATACTATATGGCACTAATTTTGGGGAGGCATCCAAAATGTTTTTTTTTTTTCCATATTGGTGAGAAGGAACTTAAGCAGAACTTTTCCAGAACAATGGAGTTAGCATATTAAGAGACCTCATACTATTCAAGATTTTTGTTACTGTATTTAAATCCCAAGAAAGCAACAGTGAATATAACAAGTGTGGTGTTAAAATCTGGTCCCTGGTCACTCGTACACAAGGTTTGATCAAAAGTTTCATGCAGTTAGTCATGAGACCATGTGACACCATGCAATCCCCAGTCGGACTTGTGTTACACATACTTTTGTGACCACTGGTAGGTACGCATTTGCAGTTTCACCTTGGACCTCAAAAGAAATCAAACATCACACTCTTCTGCTGGATGATCCAATCTTAATGTGGAGGATCTGCGGGTCTGCAGCTACCCCAAGTAAAAAAAACTGCAGTTTTTATAGTGGATAAGCAGCAGTCTCCAAGATCGAAAAAGGTGCATCAGGTCAGGCGAGCGTGCTCATTGTTTTCTTTGATATCCACGTGGTTGTGTACCATGATTTTGCACATCAAGGTCAGACTGTCAAGGCAGAGTTCTGATGAAACATCCTGAGTTGTTTGAGGAAACATTTGCTGCAAACAACCTGAACAGTGCTGCCATTGTGCACTGATTTTTAGATTTCTAGATTTCACTTTTGTGTGAACTCTTCCTCTTTTCCAGAATGAAAATAGAGTTGAAGGGTCACTGTTTTGATGCAGTTTAGAATATCCAGGCACCCTCAGAGATGAATGTTCAAGTGTTGTAGGAGCACTGGGAGCAAAGTATCACAGCACAAGGAGACTATTTGGAGGGCATGGCAGCCAAATTTGTATTTTTTTGGCCTTTGTGCCTTTATTGATAGAGCAGTGAGAGAGAGAGACAGGAAAGTGGGGGAGAAGAATGGGGGGAGGATGTGTGGGAAAGGGCCATGAGCAGGATTCAAACTCATGACCTCCACATTGGGACTGTAGCCCTGTACATGGGACGCCAGCTCAACCAGGTGAGCTATAGCAGCGCCCCAGGCAGCCAAATTTATATCTGGTTCTGTTTTTGCTTTTAATAATCACTGTCATGAAACTTTTTCATGCATTACTGAAAATAATCCCCAGTAAATGCAGTACTTGCTCCAGTTTTTTATTGTTCATCAAAGCTAGTGTCCAGCTGTTTTAGCACATTTTTTAGCACATTGCAGCTTTTGGCCTTTTGGCAATCATTAATTGCAAAATACATAACAGAACTCAGAATTATATTATAATTTTCCCTCCTTTTAGAATTAAAGAATCATATATAGTTGCAAGTTTTAGATGCCACATACTTTTGAAAGCACAATATTTTGTAGTTTTGCAGTGGACCGTGTGATGCTCTCTATTCACCCCATAATAGCAGGTACAGTCCCGTCAGGCTTCGTGTCATCCAGCGTCAGGCCAATGGGAGCGCCCTCCTCCTCGATCACCATACTGCCGCAGTAACCTGGTGACGCGACCAAACGTTAAAGACAACATCACATCCTACAGCATCCCCTCCTCCCCACTTTTTCACGTCATTCGTACCCTTTTCCCTCCAAAAGTTCTTCTTGTAGTAGACCATGCACTTGATGACGGAGCCCATGGGGACGCGTTGGATCAGCTGGTTCCTCAATGGTGGCAGCTCGGGGTTGAAGTGCATCTTCATGTTCAGACCGGGAGGAGTGGCCACAATAACATACTTGGCCTGAGACAAACACATGCAGGACAGGAACAGTGTGAGCTCCAGTAGGTTGTTGAGCAACCAGTAGATGGCAGCAAAGAGCAACATTGCCACTTGCAGTTTATGGGTCACTGTGTTGGTGGATGTTAAAAATGTGTCTAATCCAGACTACATCATGCAGTGTACAAGTACTGCAGGTGTTTCCACAGAAACCTGGTTTCTGTGACTGCTATATTGTTATTTGGGATATTATTTGATTATTAATACTCGTGCATCCATGCTAAAGTAGTGCTTTAGTTTTAAAGCTTGACTTTTACATATAGCCTATGGTGGAAAAATCACTGCAGCACATTAAAACAAACTTCAGAGGAAGGTTTACAATCTAAAAAAAGAAAGACAGAATTAAGTACATGCTGACGGTGTTTGTGCTAATATTCCCAATGCCAGAAGGGGAAGATTAAAGTTCTGCACTGCAAGTTTAACTGGGTTTATACACAGTTTAGTCGTGTGGTTCCCAAACTAGAGGTTATTCCCTTACAGTCATTAATTTAAACTCCAAAATCTCTTCTTCGAGGTGTGTCAGAAAGGTTCCAGGACTGGTGTCACAAAAGATATATTTCAAATACAAACGACATACTACAAGTTTTCCCCTTTGAAGTAATCCCAGCACGTCTACAAAGAGATCCTGTGCGTTTGCTTCGTTCAGTGCATGAAAAGAGGCAAGAGTTATGGCAGGACAAGTCATGGCTGCTTCACCATGACAAATGCTCGGCTGTGGTACTTATTGTGCTCACGATGTGTGTTTATATATAAAAAAACAAATTTGGACATGGAAAGTGAAAAATTGGTCTTTGAGTTCCTCCAAAAAACAATTGGACCAATTTAATGCATCGTGAGATGGTTAATGGAAAAAAACAAAGTTCTGCTTCATAAATCTGTTACCAGTGTTCGGACTTTTCGTGAAATATTGCATAAGTGACTTCTTTGGGTCTCAAGCAGTTGTCTAAATGAAACCATCTGCGAGGAAAAAAATCCTCAGTCTACAGCTTATAACTCAATAGAGTAGAGTGAAAGTGCAATATTTTCCTCTGAAATGTGGTGAAGAAATTCTAGAAAGATGCACAAAATGTAAAATCTTAACTATAATGTCCACCAGAACAGTATTTAACAGTAAATCTATGCACTTTTCAACTATATTTCACTTACAACATAGGTCTGTTTGTCCAGCGTCTCCACCACCACCATGTCGCCGCTCTGGTCGATCCTATAAACTGGAGACTGCAGCTTCACTCGGTCGCCCAACTCCTTGGCCATCCCTTCACTGATCTGACTGGCGCCTCCTGCAAACTTCCTCTCCTTTAAAGTTTAAAAGGAGAGCCAAGGTCAGTCAACACCACCATGGAGGGCAAATGCAGAAACACTACATGGATATAATGGAGCTTTTTTCATTCGTAGTGCAGGACTTTTTTTGGGGGTAGAACTGCTTCCATCCTGCTTAGACTCCACCAAGCAAATAAAGCCTACATTTAGGAAGGATGCTGACAAAACCTGTTCATTTCTCCTGGTGCTACAAACCGGTTATCCTCAATCCATCCTCTTCCCTCCACTACAAATCGCTTAAACTGAAAGAAAAATGTGTTTGGAAAGCTCAGGCCAACGACTGCTGAATGATGAAGAGGAAGCTGAGGGGGTGGAAAGAGATCAAGTGCTGCCAAAGCTCTGATACACCAAATTAAATAGGCAGTGACCTTTTCCGTATGGTTAGTGTCAACATTTTTCTGTCCTCCCTCCTCGCAAACACATTGTGTTCATTCCACTGTGGCATTTGGATGAATTTGCCTGCCAGTTGCTCGAAAATTACGAGCTAAACCTAAATGAGTCCTGGCAGCGAACGAGGTGAGCCTGTGCTTGTCTTGTTTGATTAAACACAGAGTTTATTTTCGCAGTTTCTGTGGAAAGCTGAACTGAGAACGACGGATACCAAATGTGCCTCCATATGCAGTGCAATATTTCTAATATGACTCTCTACTTTAAACAGAAAATCAGCTCAGATGGCTGTTTGTGTGCACATGCATGCTCACGTTAACATGTGCACATGTTTTAAATGGGAGGTCTTGCACCAGGAAATGGCTGCAGTGTCATCTGTTTACTGACACACCATCCCAGGCTTCAGTGTCTATGGCAACAGGGCCACTCAGCTTTAGAAAGCACAGCAACAGAATGTGCTCCCCCAGCACTCCAAGAAAACATCTTTTGTCAGGCTCATCATTATGCTGGGCCGATCAGCAGCAGATTAAGGTGACTGTTTTGGGGCTGACGGAGGAGGTTGCTGGATCTCTCGCTTATGCTCAGCCTCCGGTTTTGCACGAGTCAATGCTTCATTGCGGGATACAACTAGTTTATGTCCATCTCTTGGTATTACTCTGCTGCTCTGGCCAACATCCCTCCTATTGCAGAGAGATTTACTGGAAAGCTCAAGGGGATACTGGGAGGATCCTGTTTGTATCCCAAGTTTAGCGAGTGTCAGATAAGATATACAAACAGTTACTTTCTCTTTAGCTTGTTTAACAGAACACAAATGTTTGCTTTAACCCTAACAGCCTGAGGCTATTGTCAGACTAATTTCACTCCCTTTACTTTGAAGCTCTTATCTTGGTCTTTATAAGGGCTAACTGTACATGCTATATCAGGTTTTTTCCAGTATCTTACCATAAAATGCTGACAGTAGAGATATGTGTTAATAGCTGTGTAGGGAGAATGTGCAGAATCTGAGACTATCAGAACCATTATGGTGGAAAACTGTATGTAGTAGTTAGATCTGTATTACTTCAATACGTGAAAATATACTAGCATAATTCATAAAGTTCCTGTTCGGCTCTTTCTTGTGATATGATGTTACCATATATTTGCCTTGTATAGCTATACATTAACATATCTATGCAAGGATGAGTTCATGAGTAATTCCAATCAGAGTTTGGGTTGGACATATATGTAGGTTGTGATTAAATTAGATGTAAATTCAAAGTTATTGTTCTCATCAACACATCTTTACTCAGACAAGTAACTGGTAGTGTTGGAAAGATCAGGTTGTGCAGTTTCATTCGATATGTGCTCCAGATCTCTGCAATAAAAACTTCAAGAGCATTTCAGCCGAGAAGACGGACATAAAGCGCCTCCGTTGGGCTCTGAGGGTTAAATGTACCTTTAAAATCTAAGATAAAATAAGATAGAAAATTGGTAATCCCAAAGGAAATCTCTTGACACAAACATAGATACCACAAACATTCATACAGACCTACCTGCCCTCCATTAGTGGTGGAGAAGATCCTCATGGTTCCTCCGCACTGTTTCACATACCAGAGGAACCACAGGGCCGAAACCTCGTGGGGTTCAGAGGTCACGTTCACGTTGACAAACAGGGTGGCGAAGTGACGAACAGTCCTAAGACAGGGACGAAAGAGAATGAAAAAACTCAATAAAAAGCACAATGAAGTTCAAATTCAAGTTCAAATTCACTTGACAGTTAAAACAGAAACACATCTACTGATACAGAACTGTTATTAGGCCCAACACAGTAAGACTGCTGCCACCACTTTTACAGAAAAGCACCAGATTGTTCATTTGGATATGAAGCTGACATGTATATGCAGTGAGATTAATGCGATAAGTGCATGTCTGATGAGAGAACTTCAGAAACTTAATAAGTAAAGACAGCAACATCACTCCCCAACATGGAAACGTATTTTTAATGTGTCACCTGGTCCAGCAGACTTTATCAAAGAGTTGCTGCATGCTCATCTTGTCCCACTCCTCAGCGTGAGGAGCTCTCCAAGGAGCCTCTTTGGGAATCTGAAATACAAGAGGACTTTCAACAAGAGGAAACAATTAGAGACAGTAATGGCAAACATTAGCAGAGAGCCCTGCTTTACCTCCTGGCCCATCTCATCCATTGTCCTGAAGAGGTTGTTGAAGTCCATCATGACGATGGGGTTCCACATGGGAGGGTAGGAGTCGTGGAAAGGGTAAGACCTTCCCTGTCGGACACACACGAACTTTCATAAATAACTCTAAAGTTAGTTTGTACACATTCACACAACAGTTAGTTTCAGAGTTTGGCTGCCCGAGTGGACTGTCTGTCAACACACATTGCTGATATGAGTCTTTGAACTTTGCAGATGTACATTAGTTTCTCTCTGGTTACATCACAGCTTGTTGTTGTCAATTCTTTTTCCACAAAATAAATCCCATGCTGAGTCATCTAGTCTTGAAAACTACTACCTCAATCTGTGTACATACGCTGCCGTAACCTTGTTTTGAGCCATTCCACACTGCTGTCAATGACATTTTGCAAAAAAAAAAAACAAACTCAAAATTTTCCAGTTGCAACGAGGTAAAAATTGTGGGAAATAGTTACTGGTAGCATCCTTACAGTTGAAAATATCAGTACTTGTCTTCAAAATTCTGCATTAGTTGACCTCTGGCAGACCTCCAGCATGCTGAATCACTGTGACTTTGGATGGCGTTCAAAGAGTTCAAAGAGACGAACTGACAAACTGCGCAATATTTTATAACTGATTCCTAGAGCCAGAGTCATCAAGCTTGACAAGAGCCTCTGTTATCTCCATGTGATGTCTGCATGCCTGGACTATTGCACTCAATTACAAACCTGGGTCATAAATGCAGAGGTTAAAATGAGGATATGGCGTCAAAGTTACATCATCAATAAAAAGCTGTTTGATTGAGAAAACAGCACCGTTCCACGACTGAGCAATCTAGCTACTGTCGTGACGCCGCAGCACATTTAGCTCAATAAGTTCATTTGTTTTAGACCCCATTAAATTCTAGTTTCCCCTGAAACAAAGACTGGCTAAACATTTGGATGCCTTTATGTGAGTGCTCTCAGCCTGTTTTGTGCTGTAACTGCAGGCCCAGACTACGAGCCCTCGGGGATCACTCTCATGCTGTTGTATTGGCTCAATCAGAGGCAGTATTGAATCGATAATGGTTCCTAATTATACACAGTATCTCATTTTGGTTTGTTGTGCAACTTGCCACCATTTTATTGGAGCTTTATACTGATTACACCTGCATAAAACCACCACATATACAGTTTTATTTTCTCTGTAACTGTTTGCTGGCATTAAAGTCTGTTTTTAACCTGCACAAAGCAGTTACTGTGGACAGTGTAAAGTGAAATGTCGTTGCAAATGTCATGTTTGCTGTTTCCTTTGCTTTCCAAACCAATCTACAGAACTGTGAAGCCACTTAAACGCCAAACTATCAGACAAATGAGAGGATCCAAACAAACCATTTAAGGATGTGACTTTAGCTGGATAAAAATAACATGATGGTGCAGTGCTGTGCCACTTCTCTGTGTTTGAAATGTACTAAAGCAGTTCTGCAAGCAGCTGTAATACATCTATATTTAGACAGGTGAGCATAAAATGAAATGAGCCCTACAAATGGCTTCATCTTATACGGAATAAGCTTTCTTTTTTCACCAAAATAACCCAGCTTTCAGATATTTTATGGGAATGTAAAACAACAATGGGCCTCAAGAAGTCATAAAACATGTATTCATGGTACAGCGTGGCTCTGAGTGTAGTAGTCTATCCTCAGCTCAACACTGTTTGTCCTGAGATGAACTGTTTTTACAACAGCTCCCTTTGGAAGTAGGAATATTTCCATTTCAACACTGATAAGCACAACTAGGTACAATAAAATAAAAAAAAAAAAACAATCCAGCAAGGGCAGCGGTAGAACCAGAGGTACAGAAATGCTGAGCACCTGAAAGAGTTGACAAAGTTAATGTAAGTCAGCCATGAGGTTTAATATTGAGTATTTCCTCACAACAGCCAAACCTCTCATGATGTAGATGGTGTGTTTTTTTAGGAATCACACCATCTGGTTTTAGCTGAGACAAACAGACTCACAACGTACAGTATCCGTGCTCAGAACTGTCCGTTGCCGTGGAACAACAGGTCTGTCACCATGGCGACGCCGGCCAAGTGAATACAGAAGGAGGTGAGCAGAGGAGGGGAGGCGGGTAAGGAGAGGGGAGGATGCACGGCAGCATCTGTTTCCACATCAGTAAGCAGCGAGTCAGAATCCCTCAGGTAGCTGCACTGCAGAACGGAAGGTATTTTTTGACTATATTTGTAAGATACAACTGAAACTCGTGCCCACCGTCAAACTCAAATCGTATGTTCTTATCAGAGCTGTAACCAAAACATCTACTGTCCTCTTTGTCTATGTTTACCACATGATCATACACTGAGCTGCTATATTTACTGTTTTACACCAACAATGCCAAAAAATAAACAGTCAAGTTGTCTGATTTGCTTGAAATCTTTTCAGCAGAAACTATGGAAATTTAAAACAGTATCTGTGACATTTCTGCTTTAAACAATGAACACTTTGTGAGAAGACCTTTTTTTCCTTTTTTAATTATTATTATTTTTTTAATTTTCCCATCCAACCACTTTTAGCACGTTTTCTCACATACTGAAATTTGAGTCTGTTTGAATGAAAACATCTCGGGAACTATTAAAAGCCCTCCAGCCCCCCCGCGACCCTCGTGAGGATTGTAGATAATGGATGGATGGACTATTAAAAGCCTGAAATTTTCAATTATTTCTCATTATGTGATAGATAGATGATAGTCTGCAATATTGAACAAATACCAAAGATCAAACAGTCTCTGATTATGGTTGAGGGAAAATAACAATAAAAGAGAGAAGAAGCTGTCATGAAAGGTCTCGTCTTTGAGCTGACAAAAAAATTGATAATGAAGATGTCAACTAGTGATATTTTCTGAACCAAAGTGATATTCAACATGCTTTCTGTTGTGATTGCACACGAAGCATTCAGCTTTGTTCCTTACCTTTTAACAACACTGTCAACAAAGGATCCAAAAATAACTACAAATATGACTGCACCTAAACCAGCTTCTAAAAACTCCACTGAGGATATTTTTATAAAAAGATGTGAAGAAGAGCCCGTATGAAAACAGATCAGGGACTTTTTAAACAACCCTTCTTCCCTCACCAGAGATACTCAGTGAAACATGTTAATAAGATACTTCTTTTCCTGTGAATGTGTAAACATGCTCGACATCCACAGCGCTCCAGGAGCGACAGACAATCCCATGCACTTTCTCAATCTCTGATAAGCAGAGACAGTATTTGATCAAAGTCTTTTCCTCCCATCTCTGATAGTGATAGCTCATTAATAAATCCAGTGCTGAGAGCTGCAGCTGCCTGTTAGACAGTAGTTTGCTGATAAGGGAAACCAGCACTGGCCTTTTGGATTACAATCTGCCATGGAAAAGCTGATTAGCTACGCGGCTTGCTTGAAAGCTAGCCCTAATTACACAATGGCTTGGGACGCATGCTAGTTTACCCTTACTTTAGCTTTTGTCCTGTGAAGAAATGTAGACACTGTCCTGTAGTTAGATCAATGTAAATATCACCCTGCCTTCATGCTTTTCTCATTTTGTAAGTTTAGACTTGTGCTGCGATAGGAAACCTTTTCATGCTGCGTATGTTTATTCTTCTGAATTGCTTCTTTGCTAATCCAAAGCTACTTACAATCAAAGACGGCAAAGTAAAGCTCTCAGCAGCAACACATGAGTTTGAAATTCCATGTGGTGAATTACACCATTCAGCCACAACATTAAAACCACCTCCACAGACCTCTGAAGGTGTCCTGTGGTTTTAGGCAGCAAGACGTGAGCGGCAGAAGTCTTGGAAGTTGTGAGGTTGGATCTCCAACTATTCTACAGACGCTGGCTCAGATTGGAGAATTTGGATGCCGAGTCAACACAGTTTTTGGTCTCAATGTAACTGAGGGGAGACTAGAAATTTCTGTGTGCTCATTGTTGTTTCTTAAACAATTCCTGAGCAATATTTGCACCATTAAGGTGGTCGGCAGCAGTGTTTAGGTGTCAAAGTTACATCCACATGAAAGCAGGATTCACTGTTTCCCAATAGAACATTGCTCAGAGTAGCACACTGCCCACACTGGCTCGCCTTCTTCCCATCCAGCTGCCATTTCTTTCCAGGTAAACAACATACCTGGACTTCCACGATATGGGACGCTTACTTCACTATACCCTTGACTATATTTTATAATGAAAGAATTGTTAAGCTTTAACCTTGACACTTGTCACTGGCTGTCACTGAATCATTACAGGGCTTTTTTCTGGCTGAGGATTTACCTTTGGGGAGTCTATGCAATATTTTTATTGCACTTTCACATTTAAATAAACAGAGCACTAAAATAATCTTCACCTAAACTACCAATGTTCCCTGGGCTGGGGGCTGTGCACAGAGAAGCCTCTAGTCTCCACTCTGTTACTTAGACAAGTGTGAGACCAAAAATGAGACTGAAGGGTGCTGGAGCCTATCCCAGCCAACTCAGGGTGAAGGCAGGGGACACAACGGACAGGTTGCCAGTCTATCGCAGGGCTAAGCACACTCACATTCACACGTATGGACACTTTAGAATGTCCAATTAACCTGAGTTAATTGTGCAGCTCTGGTATACAGCATAAATACTTGTTAGCAGGATCAATTCGTTGTTGGTATTGGTCTTTTCATGGAATTTATTGGCAAACATCAACTGCACAAATCTCCAATATTAGCACTGTTTTTGTAGAGTCAGCTGTGGGAGCAGTGAAACCACAAACACAGTAATCCCTCGCCAGTCAACACATACAGTATGCATGAACGCACACACGGACAAAAAAACGGCGACTGACACTGATAGCGTTGAGCAGCTTTTGATGAGGCACGCTGCCATGGAAACCAGCCAGGAAGCTACGAGTGGCACGCCGACGTGAGTCTGGGTCTTTGAGTGGATCTTGCAGAGATAGTAGCTACGGAGACACGAGTTTGAACGGATTCAGGAGCTCGCATAACATTTTATAACAACAGCCAGTCAAGACCTTTACTGAAGCAGAAATGTATTTCATAACCGCTGTCTGTGCACAACGTCACGCTGGTGACATTTCACAGCACTGCTGAAGTAGGTC